CTCCTTTGGTACCGGCAGACTGCGCATCTGCATCTCCCTCTTGCCGGGCTGGGATCTCCCTTCATTGGTTTCCACCGCCCGTTGGCTGCTCACCTCATGAATACGGAGTAGCTGGCGGCGCGCTGCAGCTGAATTTTTTGGCCGTTCAGCTTGGCCCCAGCGCACTCGTGCGGGTGGCGCGGCCCGACTCACGCCCTCCGAGTGCCGCCCATCCCGCGCGGAGGGCTGCCGTGGCCGCATCAAAAAGTCCTCAAGGAGACTCCGGGCCCCCGGCAACACCGTGAAGGAAATCATTCAACCCCGCAACACGGCAAACTTCGCACGGTGGTCCCAATCAAAATCAAACAAATGGAATTCTCCCCCTTCCACGATGAAAACGCTTTCCGCGTGGGACGTAAGATTTGGTGCAGATGCCGGACGGAAATCAAATGAATACGCCGCTGGTACGTTGCGCCGCCCCCAAGCAGGGTGTGTGTGTGTGTGTCTGTGTGGTAAATATCATTGCTCAGCGGCAACCCCCGTATGCGCATTTACACTTGGCAGCCGTGTGTGGTTGTGATGTCTTGCGGAGCTGGTGTCAACAGGGGAAAGGAGGAAGGGCAGCAAAAGAAAGATGGAGGCAGAGAGAAAGGGAGAGAATTCATGCATGACGTAAGCTGTAGTCATGCGTTGTCGCAGAAACGCCTGCCGCAAGGACAATAAGCGTCAAAACGTTTCATAGAACAAGAACGAAGCATCAAAAAAAAAAAAAAATAATTCTGGGTGACTCATTTCTTTTTTTTTTGGTGTTCTACAAACGAGGAAGTACACGCTGTGCTGGAAGGGGAGAGTAGGAGGGGAGCCAACGCCCCATCGTCCTGCCCAGCCACACGCGCCCTCTTCTCCCCACCCCACTGCAATTGTAGACGTAACAAGCAAAAGAGAGAGGAAAAAAAAAAGTGGTTAACGAGGAAAATTTGCGGCGCTGGGAAGCATACAATATAAAAAGAGCAGCCCGCAAGTATTATGCTTCTACCAGAACATCTACCTCCCCATGTGTGCAATTACACTCATACAGCCCCCAAAAAACCGACGGAGACAAACACACAACGATAAACGCTACATTTTGCACTATGCCCACGCTTTCTACGTTTGCGGCCAATGTTGTTGGTTACACGTTTTTTTTTTTTTAATGCTTCCTTCGTCACGTCTTGATTTATTCAACTGTCCCATTGGGATCGACAGTATGCCATCAGTGTGACCAGCAACGCATCCGCACCAGCACACAACAAAATTTCAGCAACAACGCTCCCTTTGGTCGTTGTTTGTGTTGAGGGGACGTTAATCGTGACTTCCCCCACCAGCTCCATTCCGTTGTTCGTTTGCCTGGAGACGCCGCTCCCAAGACTACCCACGCTTGTCCGCTGTGAACGCCACACGGCATACGTCTCAAGTGAGAAGCCCCGATTGATTTTTCCCGTTGGGACAGAAGTGGCCGCGTCAGCGACCTCACTCGTAGAAGAGATTAACGCAGCGTCGCTAGCCTCTGTACCAGCAATCCCATTTACGGTGGAAAGGTTTAACACCGTGTTCATTCTCGCCATAATGCTTCTACGTCGCGCAGAATCTATTCGATGCATCACGTACTCCACGTCTTCCTCCTTATTTTTTTTGTTGGCGCCATCCCAGGCGAGTGTTAATTCAGAATTCCGGTTAAGAAAGCAGGAGGCAAAAGTACGCCCCGACGATGTACACAGGTACAGCGTGCTACTGAATGGGACCCAGCTCCCTTTTATCTGTGCAATGAGGGTGCGTCGATCGCCGTAGAACACCATTGTTTCAACGGAGCCGCTACTCTCACCTAAAAAATATAAAATAGTTTTATGCGGATCGGTGGCGTCGGTGACCTGAAACAGTTCTCGGTTCAGCAATCGTCCGTCAAAGAGACAGTTCCACTTCACCGGCTCCTTGTCGTGTACAATCCAGGGTGAACTGAGGCGATCGCTCGAAAGGCAGTAGTCCGGGTAGGAGCAGCGGCCAGCTCCAAAAAACATGGGTGGCGGAAGGTTGTTGATTAACTCACGGTACCGCCGGTTGACAGCACTCATCTTCTTTAGCACGTTGGGGCCCGCGAACTCCAGGGCAGTCAGAAGCTCCACGGATCGTAGGCGCACGGAGAGAATTTCGGTCGCAGTAAACATCATCACTCGGCTACTGCTCCGCGTTGCGCCGGACAACTTCAACTTGCGACCAGAGGGTAGTGGTGCGACTTGCGTTGGAAGCCACAGGCTGGGGTTTGGTATCTTGAAGCCAACAAGGTCCCTCGTCGGGGTGCCCATGGACGAGGTTCCGGAAGCCTTGCTGTTGGGTGCTTTCAGGCCACAGCCAAACTCTAAAGAACGCTGCTCCGAGGCAAAGCGCACACCACACCTGTTTAACCCCATCAAGGATGTTTCGAAGCAAAAAAAACAACCCACACCGCTGTCTGCCATCTCGTAACAGACGGAGCAGACAAAACCCCCCCAACGTCCTCGCGGCTGGAGGAGGGCGACCCCGCAGTGGCCCGGAGGAATGGTGTCTGGAAATTGCATACCATTTCGAAAGACTGCATCGGGGGAGGCGCACCCTGTCATCCGGAAATTTCGAGAGGTTGTGTTTTCTATGCATGCCACGGCACCACATCGAACAAAATTCATTTGATGCTCTAAAAACTGCAGTGCTGTTTGCAGGAAGCCAATCGGCAGTACATGCGAAGTACTCATAGTATGCAGCGCTCGTGCCTCTTTAGCAAGTTGCTTCCAATGGGCTAACTGAGGTATAACGGTGTTTGCGCCTTCAGCAGACATGGAAGTAACTAATGCGCGTTGCGATGCTGGCGCGGCAGTCATACTGCCATTATTTCCATCTTCTTCAAACATCACACTATATGCTCTTTGCTCTTCCCGCTCCATGGCATGGCGATTCAGCTTCAAGCGCTCAACATCCTTCATGTGGTATCCACGTTGTGCCCAAAAGTTCTCATCGGTAATTTCCTCCACACATGAGTTTCCATGCAAGAGAGGCACCGACAAGAGAAGTTCTTCCGCCTTATCAAAAGCATTCACTGCACTGCCAAGACGAAAGAGGCGCAGGTACTCCCGTCCCATCACAAAGTAGGCCTCTGGAGAACGTTCATAAGAAATTTGAGCAGCCTCTAACGCATCTTCTAGGGCTTTATCGTGCTGCTTTAGGACTGAGTACGCATCTGCACGCAATAACAACATTCGAAGCCTCTGAGTACGATTAATAGCTCCCCACAGGTATGGCGATAACCGCGCCGCTTTGCCGCCCTCTGAAACCGATAAAATAGTGCCCCTACTTAAAGCTGTGGTCTCGGCAAAGGACCCACCAGCAGAGGTGTTGCCTGTGACGGTGTCGTTGTTGTGGTTACGACTCCCTATGACGGCTCCTGTTTGGTAAGGGGTGAGTCTCCGTGTGGACTGTCGCTGCGACCCACTGCTCTCACTGTCGTTCTCAGACGATTGAAGGCCTGCCGTAATAATGCGTATAGCTGCATAGTGATTCGAATAGACGCACATTTCCTCGTAGGCGCGACGAATCAACTCATGCATAGGGCCGGGTGGACGTTCCATCGTGATGACACCAACTCACCCCGTGGATACGATGTTCCCACCTTGTCCGATTACTTACGTCAAGGAAAGAAGCAAAACTGAAACGAGAACAAAAAATAGAATAAAACCCACAGGAGAGATTGAGAAGGGCCCAACGACGTTTAAACAGATTGATGACTCAGCAAACGAACAGCTTCAAACAAAAAAAACCTCAGCCACGCACACACGCAGAGAGCGAGATAAAGACATAACACACAAAAAAAAAACACGTAAAAAGGGGGACATAAATAGTTCACTTCGTTTTTACCTGTTTTTTTTTGTCTCCTTTCTTTTCGTCCCTGCGCAAGGCACTCCTGCAGAGCCGAAAGCGTTGTTTTCCTTGGGCCAGTCCATCTCTTTCTCTCTCTCTCTCTGTGTGTGTTTCTCTTTCTCCTCCTCTCAGTTATTAATCATCCTCCAAGTACACCTGGTTGCCGAGGGAGGCATAGAGAGAGGCCTTTAATTCGCCCAACGCTACTTGGACGGACTTCAGCTCCGCCTCCGCCTCCGCCTGCTCCGTCTGCAGCCGTTGCTGGTCCTTCTCCAGCCATTCCTCCGCCTCGTCATTCTCGGTCTCCATGAAGGTCTCACCGAAGAGGTACATGGCGTTGTCTGTAATCATCAGTTCGTCTGCGGCGTCGCTGAGCCTCACCAGCTCCTCCTTGCGCCTAGCGATTTCGGCCGTCAGCTCACGGCACCGACGATGCAGCCGCGCAAAAAGGCAGATACGGCGTTGGTCATCTTGCGTGACCTCCACCTCTTTCCCCTTGATAATAGACATGACTCCTTACCGGTCAAACCACCTCCCGTGCAGTCTATGGTTGGTGTTTTTTTTTATTGTGTTCTTTGAGTCTAACGCGGCGCCTCTCTCCCTCCAAGATTAGACACATGAAGGAAACAAGCAGGCAAAGAAGAAAAAGAAGAGAGAAAAAAAAAGGAAATAAGACCAATTCAAACCAAACAACAAGCTACGGGTTCTTACCCACATCCACTTCTTCCAGCACGCATACGTACATGCACATACATCCACATCCACACACACTCACCCCCTCCAACTCCGCCACTTAGCATTCCTCTTCACAATTCACGTGCGCATGTTGTTGATCTCACATTTTTTTTTTTCTCTCCTCTCCCCCTCGGGTGACTTGAAGCTAAGGGGCGAGACGTACAGCACAAGACGCCGTAAAGCCCAGCTGTTTTTTTTTGTCATTGCTTTTGATTACACTTCACTTTATCTCTTCTTTTGAGTTGTTTTTTTTATTTATTTTGGTCACTAATCTTCATTGTACTTTTGTTTTGGAAAATCACTTGCCAAAAAACAAGGTGAACGCCTTTGCGCGGACCTCCACATATTAGCCGAGCGAGAGAAGTCGGCATTAACTAAACGAACAAATATAATGCAGTAAAAGGAATGCCCGCCAACCACGTCGTCTCCCGCCGACAAACTTCCCCCCCCCCCCCTTGGCTTGAGTTTCAAAATGGCAAGAACCCCCGCTCCACGTTTCTAAACCGAGCCGGCCCTCTTTATGTCCTCCTTACGCAGCAGCTGCTTGAACCATGCATGCTCAACAGCTTGTGCTGCCGTCAGTCGACGACGATCATCATGCGTCAGGAGTTGTCGTAGAAGGTCTTTAGCATCGTTACTGAGTAGCGGAGACGGCCGAACTGGTTGCTTGCCTGAGCTAATCAACTTGAGCAGTTTCGAGCGGCTTGTGTCATGAAAGGGAAAGTTGGAGTGTAGGAGAACAAACATCACTACGCCTGCCGACCACAAATCGACCGGTGTACCGTATCCCACATTTCCAGTCGATAGAAGTCTCCTGAGCGTGTGGATGGAGGCGGCCGACTGCACCTCTAGCCTATTCCTCTCATTCTCAGCTACCGTGTTCGGGGTAGTCGCGCTACCACCCATCCTTCTGTCTGTCGCCGTGAATATGGGAGGCAGCTTCATACCAGCACAGCTGGTGGGCGCCTTGGGACCGCTCGACGTGGAAGATAGCCGAGACTGCATGATGGAAGTCCGAATAACCTCTGGGGCTATATAATGGCAAGATCCACAAAATTCAGTTAAGGTTCTGTCGTCTCCCCTCGTTTGTGCGTCTGCCCCGCTGCCTGCGGCAGTCTTGCGCGGCCAATGAAATCCCTCACAAAACCCATAGTCGATGAGGCGTGCTTTACCCTGAGGATCAACAACAATGTTTTCCACCTTTACATCACGGTGAACAATTTGCTTGGAATGAAGGTGTTGAAGAGCCAACAGCAAGTCCATCATATAGGATGCCGCCCTTGCCTCGTTGATCGGACCCCGAGAAACTATAGTAAAGAGTTCTTGGCCCGACAACAATTCCATCACAAGAATGCATTGCACCTTTCCCTCCTGCAACTGTCGCTTCGCATTCGCAATAGCTGACCGATTGGTGTCAGAGGTGGTGGATTCCGCCACCACTGAAGAAACGGTCACGGAGGGCAGCACACCCTGCCGCTGCTCCGGAACACCACCAGTTGCATTATTTCTAAGAGAAGCAGAGTCATAGAACGTGGAACGACGAGTTGGCACGGTATTATTTTGTGTCAAAACTAGGACAGGCTCCTGCTTGACCCTGCGCTTTGCAGAAGCGCTGGAAGACGCAGAGGATTCAATTAAAAGCTGCGGGTTATACCGCCGCACGCGTCGGCGCAAGTCCTCCACATCCTCCACAAAGACCTCAGTCGTGTGCACCAGATTAGGATGATCCGCCATAAACGAGACGGCAACTTCCTTCACAAGTGACTCGGAAAGAGCCCTCAACGCGGTGTTGGTGTTGCAACTGATACGCCTTCCACCCCCAACTGCCGTCTTTCCCTTAGCAGCGCCGTCACTGGCTTCGTTCCCACTTTTCCTTCCAGCGAGCAGTTTGTCGGTTGAAACAAGGAACTTTGCAGCCTTTCGTTCCTTAGTTTTGCGGTTTACAACCTCAAAAACGACGCTATAACTTCCATGTCCCAAACATGCCCGTATCCTGTAAAGTTCCAAAAAACTGCAGAGCGGACGTATGCGATGACGCTCCTGCGTCCCCCTGCCGTTGGTCGAGTCAACGGAAGATTCAAAAGATGTGTAGGCGTTTGATGTCACGTCTGCCTCGTGGCATTCTGCAGCCGGGATGCATCGGTGACTGATGCTTCCACTGTTGCCGCTGCTGTCAACGCGCTCCTGCCGCGGCGTCGGGACCTTTTTGGTGCGCGCAAAGGACAGCCCGGCTGAAAACAGCGCCTTCTCTGCCGGCGTCACAGTGAACACTGCCGAGGAGTCGGCAGGCATCGCTGTGACGGCGCTCTTTCCCGACACTGCCTTCCTAGGCGGCACACAATAAGAACAATAATAAAAGGAAAAGAGATGTGACAAAGACAGGGATACGGAAAAAAAGGTATTAGCACCGCTTCTCCCACCACACACCGAGGCATAAATACAACTAAGGAAACACGCACCCGCGTGTTCAATGGCGTCTCAAGAAATAAAAGGGAAAACTAAAAAAAAAAAAAAAGTAAATGGAAGCTGCATACATACGAGTTGTTAAGAAAAACCGCAGGCCAAAAGGGTTGATGAATGCTGAGCGAAGAACGGCTCTGCGGGGTAGTGAAAATACAAACAGGGAAACAAAAAAACCGGTACCACAGGTATACCAATGCACTGCGAAAACAGAAACAAAAACAAAAAAGCATTCGGTTACTGTGCATGCCCACGCAATGCAGTCTTATACCCAAAACGTTTCCCTTTCCTGTGTATTATTCCTTCGCTTTCAATTCATTCAACGACGTCTCTTGCTGGCCAAGCCATCGTTACTTTTGTGTGCTCATTCTCTCCTCTTCCTTCCACAGGCCTCCTCTTGCAGCATCACCTCATCCTTGCCCAATGGCCCACCATCATCTCTTTCCATCTTATGCGTCTATGCATGTCTTTACCACTTATTTCGTTTACCATATATATATACTCTTCTTTAGGAATGAGACCACGTTCATTCCGTTCCCACAAAAACAGAACGAGGACAGTACGGACGATTAGCGTTTCGCTCAGTGTACCCAGCATCCACCACTTGCACAAAGCTTCACCCAACACACTCACACCCCAATAGATCAGTTTGTGCACAAATCCATAAGGGACCCCAGACACGTGTCAAGCCCACAAAGTGGGCGTCTGTAGGGCCTCGCAACCACGAGACTCCTCCACGTAAAAGACATTAGAAGCAGTCGTAGTAACACGGAGCTAGCGGGCAACAAAAGAAAAAAAAAAAAAAGATTCCAAGTTGTTGGCAAACACACGGGACGGGTGAAGAAAGTGCTTCCCTGTTTTTTTTTATTTCTTGCTCCCTCCCTCTTCTGATCGCACATTCCCTTCACAAGCGTATCGTATTAGTAAGAATGGCAACTTCTTGGACCTGATGCGCCCCCATTTCTCCCTACCACCACCACCACCACCATCCACCTCCTTACCATGTCGTGCACAATGGGTTCCGCTTCACCCGGGACCACACGCCCATCATCAACCTTCCTCAGTCTCCTCACTCCTTTCTGGTCATTCATAAAGACACATGTGCACTGACGACTTCCCCCTCCTTCCCCTCTCTTCTTTTTTATTCATTCTAATCACCTTCCTTAAAAAAAAAAAAAATTCCTTCGGTCTTATCTCCCATCTTTAGTGCCCTGTGTCGTTGCTCCCTCCCACTGCCTCAGTCCATCTCACCCGAAATTTGTTAAATTGCGACGCCACCAAGTTTGCCCCCAGTAACCATCGCTGTGGTGGGCAGTCGCAACGATGACGTGCAATCGCAGCCCTCAGCTCTCCTCCGGCTGGTTCAAAAATGCAACGCATAAGCGCGGCAGTGTATGCATGAGTAGGCGCCACCAGGCAACACAGCGAGGGGATAAAAAGAAAAAACAAAAAACACAAATTTGCTGTCCGACCGCGTTGTAAAAGACTGTGAGGGAATGACCGCCACACGAACCAACAATGACCGTAATGAAGGGCGTGGAACGCCAAAATGCGATGAAGAAAACGAGAGAAATGAACAAGCCGGGCAACAACACACACGGTGTCGCGGCCGCCAACACAAAACAAACAACTCACCAATACGCAGCCCAAAAAAAAAAAAAGGAGAAAACGCCAAGAACCAACAAGACGATTACGTACGTGGCGCGGAAAAAAAAAACAGCAGCAATAACACAATATCCAGCCCCACCACACAAAAACAAAAGAAAATGCAAGCCAGTGATGTGGAAATGACCACAGCCCTGAATGCTCGCGTCTTCTGCGTAAGGAACCAACGGGAAAAAAAACTAACCAAAAAAAAACCTTATGCAGGGACCCACCATAAACGCAACGAAATCAGCCTGGTCAGCAGGAAAGGGCTAAAACGGGAAGAAAAATTAAAATAGATATAAAAACAGAACAAAAACCGAGAAAGTTGCGGCGACCCTCCACACACCCGCATCATATATATGGATAGATACCTCCCCTTTCTTGTGCGCATGTTTGTCTATATAATATGGTCGCTTAACGTATTGAATGCATAAACACACATGTATATCTACATAAATATATATATCTACGTTGATGTGTATAGATATAGTTATAATGTTAAAAATCATTTGCACGGGATGTGTACATTTAAGAGTATGCACGTGTATGAACTTTTTTCCCTTTTTTTTCCCTCCTTAACCCAAACTAACAAAATGCAGACAAACACACTCTCAAACCCATCACACGGAAACAGACCTAACATATATATATACAACCGTAGGTGTATACGGGAAACACAAATAAACGAATGAAAGCTCAATGGGGGAGAGGAAAACAAACAAAAAAAAACTGCGGCAAAGCTAAAAAAGAAGCCAGTAATATAACAGCGCCGCCTCTCCCCAAAGAGGCCCAAACGACGGCAAATCCAACGACAAAAACACAATCCCCCCCCCCCCCTCTCTCTC